AAGCTAAACTATCTATTAATTATGTCAATGACAGGGAGTGTGATTGTTGAAATAGGGTGTTAGCGGTCTTGCTGGTGTTCAAAGAAGAATGACAACACTGTAGATCACCAACACTATGGTTTATTTTTTATTCACAGGCAAGTCAACGTTGTCGCAGTAAAAGTCCCAAGATGGTGCAATAAAATGTTCCCTTGCAGTGTTTGACTATTATCCTGCTGCATTAATGTGTATGTTGTATGTTGCATCATGTTACTGCTGTAGATGTGTTTCCGAGCCGCTCCAACGAGAGTTACAACGAGAACGTGACGTCATATTTACACAAGACGGATCCTTTCTAGCCATAACCCTCATCCAGGGGGCAGTGACGCGCTCTGACGCTGCTTCCTGTAAACAGAAACAGATCCACTACCGGTTCAGTTAGTCTCACTTACATATGTTTTAAACTGTTTATTGTCTCTGAAACAGAAACATGAGTTCGGACCTCTCGCGCTGAAGGTCAGATATCATGTTTATTTATTATCATAAACACTCTGTTGTTGTTTACTAGAGCAGAGAAACACGCTAGCGTTAGCATCACAGCTAAAGGTGACCCAGGTTAAACACGTTATTTCTGATGCTAACTGCCCGGTCGTCTTCTGCTAGTACAGAAAAGCTTGTATTTCTAACAAAAAGTGTTTAAAAATTGTCATTTATCGTTTCAATTTGATAAATATAAACCTATAAGACAGAAGCGCAGCTTCTTAGTCACCGTTCAGGGTTATTCATGTTGATTTCAGGAGGGTTTAAAGTAACAAAAATACGATTTATTAAAAAAAACCAAACAGATGAATTACAGTTTACAAACCCGGAAAGATCCCACATTTTAGGGTTTTTATTTAATGATCCTTTTGTAACTTGATATCTTTATTAATACAGGTGGAGGTCTTAGTCACGTTATTCCAAAATGTGAGGAGATTTGACTGAAATACCTTCATTTCTGATGTCACGAAGAAGCAGTGTTTAAACCTTATCAGTAACATAAATCCCCTTTTCTTATTGCACAGTAGGGCTCGTATTTCTGACAGTAAGAGTTAAAAAGGTACTTTATCTTATTAACTTTAAATATAAACCTATAAAAGGAAAGGTGGACTTAGTAATAACCTTCAGGTGATTTTAAAGGAACAGAAATAAGATTTATTCCAAAATAATGGTTGTAGGACTGCATATAAATACACATTTTAAGGGTACTTCTACTGAAATATCCTTCTTTAACTTGATATCTGTGTGTATATTCTTCTCACTCCACTACAGGTGAACTCATCCAGATCAGGGTTTAAGTCTCTATTATAATTAAAACTGCATTTAAAAAGAGTATTTGTTCAATGTTTGTGTTGCAGGAAGAAGTGCAGAGATGTTGAGCCTCAGGTGCATTGTGGGAGATGTAGTTCGTGGAGGACTCCTGAGGAGGACGTGTCTCAGACTTCCTCTTCCTCCTCCTCCTCTTCCTCAGCTGACCCAGCGCTGCTTCCTCTCAAAGGTTATTTCACTTTAATATTCATTGGTTTAATTTGAGATGGTATGTATTTAATTAATTTTACAGTTTACATTTGTTCTCATTATTTACTCTCCTCTCTCCTCCTCCCCTCCTCTCAGGGCGGTTCTGGTTCTTCGGCCCGTCTGAAGCTCCGGACCCGCCTCCTCGTCTCTCTGCTGTTTGGAGGCTCCATATTGGCCGGCTGGCGCTTCGTTTACCTGGAGAAGCAGCAGCGGCAGCGGCAGATCCGATTGGACCAGCTGCGGAAGGTGTCTCTGGGTCAGGGGACCTTCAGCCTGTTGGACCAGACGGGCCGACGCAGAACCAAGCAGGACTTCCTGGGCCGGTGGGTTCTGCTGTACTTCGGGTTCACGCACTGCCCCGACATCTGCCCCGAGGAGCTGGAAAAGCTGAGCAGCGCCGTCACCACGCTGGACCAGGTCTGTTCACATTATCTATATACTCTCTCCAGCAGGGCCGGCCCTAGACTTTTGGGGGCCCTAAGCGAGCTTTGGCTTGGGGGCCCCCCTCACTCAAGCGCGTTCTCACTACACACAACACGGAACCAACTTTTGTCTTATGATGTTAGCATGAGCACACATGTTGTATAAATAAGCATGTAAACACCGTGGACCTCACCTCCTCTAGGGGGGTCCTCACCTCCTCTAGGGGGGTACGGGGGGATACTCCCCCGGGAAGATTTTTTTTTAAATATTGAAGTTAAAAGCATCAATCTGGTGCACTTTGAGAGCAACATTAAGAGATCTATGGATACCTCTCTCAACACCCAGATGAGACACAACTGTAAGCAGATGTTCTTTATGGATATTTGACAAATCACTTAAACTGTATTCTCTTTTTGTCATATAGTATTTCACAACTGTTTCTCATTTATTCTCTCTGGCTGTCCATCTCATAATGTTCAC